TAGAAAAATGAAACCGATCCACTGGCACTCCAAGATGGGGCCGTTAGAATGGGCAGCTCGTTTTTTAATCCCTTCCTAAGGTTTTATTTTCTCCTACTATATTGTAATTGAATGTAAAAGGATTGGAGCAATCAGGGGTATATTCTCTTCAACAATAAAGCTGCATGTCACATTTTCAGATTGTACTCAAATGTCATAAAAATACTGACCCACGCTGCGGTATTTGTACAACTGTGCTTTTGTCTGCCTTCTTTGTGCTGGTCTCTCTCCGTGCCTTTATGTTCGCCGGCATCAATATTTATTAGAGATGTTAAGCTATTAGTGGGCATGGTATGGTTGCCTAATTTTGTAGAGCATCCAATTTGAACACACTGGCTCTAAATAAACGCTTCCTCGTGATGATAATGATAATGATCCCAGCAGTAGCACTGGGTCTTGTAAACTAGGACTCAAGTTGGGGTGAAAACCTACAAGCATTTAGGAGCTGAGGAGGGCGGAATTGAGCTGAATGACTTTCCCAGCTCTGCTTTTTCACTTTTCAAGGTCTGGTTCCAGGTTCCTGAGACCTGCTCAGAGCTCCCTACCCACAAATCTGAACTCTCTAGGCAATATAGCTCACTTGAAAACTATGGGGGTGGAGACGCATCATAATGCCTGTCTTATTTGTACATACATGCCTCTGTGTGTGTGTGTGTGTGTGTGTGTGTGTGTGTGTGTGAATAAGAGCTAACATTTCCCAAGAGCTTTCCTTACGGCAGGTGCTGTGCTAAGCTGCCTGCCTCTTTGCGTTCATCTCTATCTGAACATTTATAAATGGGTGTATGTATCCCATCTCCCCAGCTAAATAGTAAATGGTTGACTCCTGTGAAACTCAGCAACGCTGAATTCTAAACTTCTTTCTATGCCCCCAGGAAAGCTTAGGGTGGCACTGGGCACTTGGTAAACCTTCAACAAATATTTCTTGGCTGTCAACAAGTCCTAAGAAATCAGTAGAGCTCACTTTGGAAGGAACATTGAATGAAATGATATTGGAATCTGGTTCATCTGTGAACACTGTTTGACTGCCTGCTATACAGGATGTTACCAACCTGGATTGTCTTTGGTTAATTAATCGTATGTTGTGGCCAAAAGAACGTGGGGCTGGAAGCCAGGAGACCTGAGTCTCATCCCACTTCTGCCACCAGGTGAGGATAGCACCTCGGATGAGTCTGTTCCCCTCACTGGGCCTTGAGCTCCTCAAAAAAGGAGGTGGACTAGATGCCTGTAAGATTCCCTCCAGCCCCAAATGCTGTGTCTATTCTATGACTCTATTTTACAAATGCATGCACTTCTTATTGGTTACATAAAACCCCACAGAAAAACAAAGTCAGTAATAAATTATGAAAAAATCAGGTGCCAGGATCATTTGCACTTTCTAAGGGTGCTCGATTCCATAAATTCCACCCCTGTACATAGGCAGCCTCTCCAGGGCAACAGAAGATCCAAGGCTGTCAGGGGAGCAAACTAAGCAGTCTCTCCCTATAATTGTATTGACAGGTTATCAGCTGAGTTCCAATGGCAAGAAAGGTGCAACCCTGACAGGTTTTGTGAAGGAGTCTTGAAGGCTATTGTAGCAGGATTCTGTGTGGAGTCACAGAATTCTGGGGAAATGAGAACCAAGCAGGGAGAAGCTTCGTTCTTTCTCTATTTAATTTTATTCTTCCCAGAGAGACACATGTGAAGGAAAACTGGCTAACTGCACATCACTGTCTACACTAGAGTCAAAACCCTTTCTAATGGAAAATATTTACAGCTTTTGTGGCCACGTAAAACACCGACTTGATTCAATCACTCCTATTAAATAACCAGTTGATTTGGTTTTAAATGAGGCAAATGATTGTTGAGCATTTGTAGATAAAATACCTGCTTGGATGTTTCAGTTTTTCACTTTTCATTTGGTTACAGTGGCATCTTGCAGACATGTTCTTTTTTTTTTTTTTTTTTTTTGAGACGGAGTCTCGCTCTGTCGCCCAGGCTGGACTGCAGTGGCTGGATCTCAGCTCACTGCAAGCTCCACCTCCTGGGTTTACGCCATTCTCCTGCCTCAGCCTCCCAAGTAGCTGGGACTACAGGCCCACCACCTCACCCGGCTAGTTTTTTGTATTTTTTAGTAGAGACGGGGTTTCACCGTGTTAGCCAGGATGGTCTCGATCTCCTGACCTCGTGATCCACCCATTTCGGCCTCCCAAAGTGCTGGGATTACAGGCTTGAGCCACCGCGCCTGGCCGACGTGTTCTTGAATAACTGATGTGTATACATCCTGGTAAATTTTATGGAAGTGAAATAACACTGTTGAGTTTGTTCAGTCAGTGTTTCTACATTTTAAATGAAAAAAAAAAAAAAATGCTGATCCTATTCATTGGAGAAAGCAACCCAAGAAACAACCCCCCAATACGGTAGAATAAATGCCTATTTCTAAGGTGCTATAGTCTTCCAATATAGATGGACACCTTCAGGTTCAGACTTAGACAAAACCAAAATATACTTTAGTTCTAATGACCCTCCTAAAGACACCAAGGCAGAGTGCACTCCCAACCTCTACCATACATAGCAGGGAGGCACAGGCTACCACGGGGATCTGAAAATCTGTGGTGGTGAAACTGACATGCCACAATGAAGAAATCCACAAGCCGAGCTCAACAGAAATTTCCATAACATGCAAAGAAAAAAATCTTAAAGCTCCACAACCTCACATATTTTCCATTTTCCCTTTTTCTTTAAAGTCAAAAACACCAAAGTTGTTTCATAATTTAAAGAAATTATATAGGAAGCTGTTTGGAGTGGTAAAAATAATGCTGGGATGGGAGTTAGCCAACGAAGCTGCAAACCCAAGCTCTGCCAAAACCTTCAGCAAAACAAAAACAAAAACAAAAACAAACAAACAAAACAGAGGTGGCCTCAGTGTGCTCATTTGCAAAAGGGGTCTGGAAAAGGTAACGGTCAAGCTTCCCTTTTGTGGTCAATTTCTCTGCCAACTTCTATTTAGGTCAGGTTTTGACCTCTACAGTTATAAGATTGTCTAATATTATATGACATGGTAAATACCGAAAAGTGGATGTCATCTTAACTGCTCCAGAAAGTACCTTACAGACCCTGAAGAACCCACTAAGGAAAGCCAGAGGTAAAGGCTGCCCCCTGGCTGCCCCTGATGGAAGAAGAGAACCCCAGGCTCCATCTTCAGAGAGCGGGAGCCTGGAAGTGGGTCCCTGCAGCTCCAGCATGGTCACCAGGGGCCAGGGCAGACCCGCTCTGCATCTCGTGCCCTGAAGACAGAACCCCAGTCGTGGGTGAGTCATCTCCTGTACATTTTCCAGCCCTAAGCTTGGGTTCAGAAATCAGGGATTGAATCGGTCCCGGAAGCTGTTCAGCTAGTGCCATCCAGAGGCCAAATGCTGTCCTCGATATAGCTGGGCGGGTCGGGGGAAGCAAAAGGAAAAAGGAAAAGAAGGGGGAAATTTACATATATGTACATACATTTTACACATATGTACATGTATATTATACATATGCATGCATGTATGCATGATGTAAACCGTATGTATATGGGTGCATACACAAACGCATATGCATGTACGTGTGTGTACGTACATATCGCTCAGCGTGGGCACCACATGCTAACTCACCATGGAGAATAACTCCATATGCCCTCACTCTACACTTCAGTAGGAAGAACTTGGCTCCCTACTAACTACTTGAACAAAAGCAACGACCTAACCTTAACGCAGGTAGTCAGAGGTGGCGGGCGTGATTCTCTCCTTGATACAAGAATAGTGAGCCCCACCTGCGTGTCCTGCCTGTCCACTGAGAGTGACTCTTCTCATCAAGAAGTAAGTGAAGGACCTTGTTCCACTTTGAGGGGCCCAAGGGGCCTATTCGATGGAAAGGCACGAGCACGGTAAGTCAGCCTGGCCCAGGTGCAGCCTGCACCTGGGCAATATCCTTCCTCCTCTGCAGGACCGAGTTTAGGGAAGGCAAGAGGAGAGAGTCAATGTTTTGCCAGGAGCCAATTAACTCAGTTAATTCTAGCACGGGTTCCCTTTTCCCCAAAACAAAAACAAATCGCCACCACCACCTCTGAGCTCTACTCAGCACCTGGCGGTCACACAAATAATTGTTGCTGAATCCACAGTTACCACCTGCGCCTTCCACTCCCGCACCTGGGACGCGGAGCGCATTTTTAAAGGCGCACTGCCCTCCAGCGGCGCAAGATAAATTCGCCCCGAGGCTTGCTCCCGGACCCCCAAGCCTCAGCCTGACTTCTCCCGTAGCCCCCGGGAAGGTGTGGCAGCCACAGCAGTGTTGGTTTCCCATCAGCGGGAAGCGAGGCTAAAGGTGGGGAGGAGGGAAGGGCAATGTGATCTAGCCCGAAACCGCAGCTCCCTCATTCTCGTCTGGGGAGCCTCCTAGGCCAAAGACTGCTTTTTTTCTCTTAGGGTTGTAATTTGGGTTAGAAATAAGTATAATCGGACGGAAATGAATATTCAACGTGATGCTTCCAGGACAGACACGGAGCCCCCGCTGCATAGACGTACCCCAGGCGTGCAGGGGAACGGGAGAGGCGGCCTTTACCCTAGGAGTGCTGGCAGCCAGGACTTAGGCTGGGCGTGTGCGACCTCTCACCCTGTGGGTTCACTCTGTGGAAAACCACAGCAGCCCCCATTGCAGCCTTACCCCATGTCAGGCTCTGTCCCGGGGTCCTGCAGAAATTACCCTATACAGTCTTCCCAATCAGTCCCTTTAGTGGTGCCATTATCATCCCACTGTGAGGACGGGGAAACGGAGGCTCAGAGAGGCGACGCGACCTGCACGGGGGTTCGAGCCTGTCTGGACCAGAGCTGGAGCTTCCCACGCTGCGCTCGGACCCCGGGCCGAGGGGCCAGGGCGCGGCGGGTGGGGACCCCCGGCGGCGTGGGTGCCCGGAGCCGGCGACCGCGAAAGCGCGGTGGGCGTGGGGTGCTCACCTTGACGATGAGCGGGTTCTGAAACATGGAGTCCCGCACGACCCCCAGCCGCTCGTTCTCCATGCCGGGACGGATGTCCGCCACGGTCAGGGGCCGCCGCGGGGGCGGGCAGACCTGGCTGACCGTGCGGCGCACAGGCTGCTGCTGCTTCCTCCATCGCGTGGAGTCCAGGCCGGCGTTCCTGCCCTCTGGCATCCTTGGGGTCGCCGGGGAGTCGGCCCGCGGGCTGGGTTGGGCGCGCTTCCCCAAGTACAGGCCAGCTGGGAGCTCCGAGGCGCCTGCCGGAAGACCCGGGCCGCACCACCGGGATCCTAGGGGGGAAACCCAGATGCCAGGACCGCTCCGGAGCCAGGCGCGCCCCGCTCGCGCCGGCCCCTCATTGCAAAGAGCCAGAGAACCCTGCAGAAGCCCCACCGGATCCTCAGGGCGTCTCCTGGGCCCCGCGCTGCGGACTGGGAGAGGAAAGAAAACTAAGACCACCCCTGGAGGACGAATGCAACGGCCCGTCTCCTTGGCGACAGGACGCCAACAGAGCCCGGCTCGGCTCGTACTTTTCTTTCAAGAAACTCTTGGTGGCTACCAGTGTGGATTTGTTTGGAGTTTTCCTGAATCGATACAGGAGAACCGAGAATCTCCAGTGGGTTGCGTTCAAAGCGGCGTGGCTCTTAGAGGGTCATTTACACTAGTCTTTCAAGTCAAAGACTCCATCCTCTGCTCACCCCCATTCCACTCACAAACCCTCCCTACCTCTGCTCCTTGCGCCGCACACACACCCGAGAGAGAGCACGAAATGCATTCCAAGCCTGATGCTGATGCTGACCCACTGGGAGGACTCGTTGGATCCAATGGGCTTTTTTTTTTTTTTTTCTTTTTTTCCTGTGAGATGGGTGACAAGGAAAGTCTAGAGTTGGATTAGACCAATGGTTCCCAAATTTAAGCAACAGAATGAAGGGAAATTGAAAAATACAGATTTGGGCTGGGCTCGGTGGCTCACCCATGTAATCCCATTGCTTTGGGAAGCCTAGGAGGGAGGATGGCCTGAGGCCAGGAGTTTAAGACCAGCCTGGGCAACATGGTGAGATCTCATCTCTACCAAAAATTTAAAAAAGTAGCCAGGTGTACTGGCACACACCTGTGGTCCCAGTTATGGGGAGGCTGAGGCAGGAGGATCGCTGGAGGAGGTTGAGACTACAATGAGCCGTGTTTGGGCAACTACATTCCAGTCTGGATGACAGAATGAGAACGTGTGACAAAAAAAGAAAAACGAAGATTCACAGGACTCACTGAATCAGAATATCTGGAAAAGGCACCTGAGGCTCTTTTTTTTTTTTCTTTCTTTTTTTTTTTTTTTTTTTTTAAGAGACAGAGTCTTGCTCTGATAATGACATGAGCCACCTCACCAGGACAGATGCTGCATTTAAAAAAAAAACCCTTAACCACCCACCCCCAACTTTGTGAAAAAGTTCAAACCTATAGAAAAGTTGAAAGTCAAAAGAAGACTACAATGAAAATACACATAGGCTTCACCTAGATTTTGTTAGATTTTGAAGGGAAGGGGAGGGTTAAAGAAAGAGAGAGTGGCGGCTCTACAGCAAATGCAGGCTTTATGTCTGGCTTAAGACCTACAGAGGTGGGAGACCAGCTTAATGCCAGTGCCCACCTCTGCTTACAAGCTCGGGAAATTATAGGCCTGGGCAGGGAGGGGCCCCGGGGGTATAACCTACTGCCCGGGAAGATGTTGATAAGGTATTCCCATGAGGAGGCAGTTTGGCCCTTGTTCTGGTGGAATGTGATGTTCCTGGCACTTTCTCCCAGCAGAATATAAGAGGCATGCTGTTTCTCACCGCCTGAACCCCCGTGGAATGTTTCACTTTAACCAAGGTCTGTGAAATGGCAGAGGGCTTACAAAAATGGTGTAGTTTGGCCGGGCGCGGTGGCTCAAGCCCGTAATCCCAGCACTCTGGGAGGCCGAGACAGGCAGATCACAAGGTCAGGAGATCAAGACCATCCTGGCTAACACGGTGAAACCCCGTCTCTACTAAAAATACAAAAAAATTAACCGGGCGTGGTAGCGGGCGCCTGTAGTCCCAGCTACTGGGGAGGCTGAGGCAGGAGAATGGCGTGAACCCAGGAGGCGGAGCTTATAGTGAGCCGAGATTGCGCCACTGCACTCCAGCCTGGGCGACAGAGCGAGACTCCGTCTCAAAAAAAACCCAAAAAAACAAAAAAACAAAATGGTGTAGTTTGGACTAACAGATTCACCCATCTCCAGCACTGGCCACATTTTCTTGCTCTCTCTCTGTGAGTGTGAGTATGCACATACACGCATTACAAAATCACCTGAAAAAATATCTGTCAACACCATATTTAACCCTAGGTACTTCATCAGGTAGCAAGAACATTCCCATGTATAACTACGATGTCATTATCATGTCCGAAGATTTTAATGTGATACAATAGTGTTTAATATAAAATCCATTGCAAAGTTGAGAATCTGCATTTAAAACAAAACAAAACAAAAAGCTTCCCAAGTGATTGGTGCAGTTGGCGGAGGATTGGAAACCACTAACCTGTATGATCTCTAATCTCTCCTCTAGTGCCAGCCTTTTGTGGGTTCATTCATGCATCACTAGCACCATAAGGCTCTGGGTAAGTGGACTCACCACAGAACACGTGACACCAATGACGAACCTGGACTTCAAGGCCTTACATATCAACAGTGGACACCACCACATTTACAGACTTCTCCAGACAGAGCTCCAACTGCACATCCACATCCCAGAGCAGCATATATAGGTTCATCGTTTCTCCAACCTGCTTCCCTTCCAGACTTTCACAGAAGCATAGGTTGTGCATTTTTAAATCAAAGACACTTGGCAGATCACATAGAAGTCAGGTGGAACAGTGAGGGGCAAGATAGTGGAGTAGTAGAAAGAGCATAGGTCTGATTTCTGGCTGGCCCATTTAAGTCACCTTTGACAAGTTACTGTAAACCCAGGTTTCTTATCCACAAGGTGGGGCTAATAATACCTCATAGATACCTACAAGGATTAAGTGAGAAAACTTGTTGCCTGTATCGTATATGTTCCCTATCCAAAAAGGTTAAACGTTTGGTTGGTAAATATAATGGCCTTGAATTGATAGCCAGGTTAAAGCTGCCCTTTTAGCTAGGTCTTTTCAGGACTCTGTTGAAATGGGAAGACTGGGATAGATCTCCAAACTCCTGCCAGCTCTAACCTTCTGAGACTTCATCCAAGCTTGACATCCATCAGACTCTGCACCTGCAGACCTCTGACTTCATCTCCTACCCCCTCCCCTGCATTCACATGCATTCACTTAGGCTGGGCGTGTGTATGCATGTGATTTGTTTGTCATCTGTCTTCCCAAGTTGTTCCTGGAGTTCACCAAAAACTGGAATAAATGGAATGCACGCATGCATTAGTACGTCAATGGAGGGGGATTCTGTCCTACTTTCTTCGTTTTAGGAGCACGCTCTACCCCACCTGACCTCTAAAGGACCTAGAAGGAAAACGGGTAGACAACTCCGCGCACTTCCACTGCCTAGTGGCAGCCGTGTTACCATGACAGCGTGACGCCGAGGGGGCCGGAAGGCGACGCACTACTACTTCCGCTTCCTCAACAGCAGCACTTCCGGGTTGGGAGACAGGTGGCAGCGCTTTCGGATGGTAAGTTGAAAGCGCCGTTGTTAGTTGTTTCTGTATTTCAAAATGCGCACGTAAAAACCCAGCGTGGGGTGGTGGATTTCCCCGTCTTCTGGGAGACCCGCCTTTTGGCCTGAGGTCTCCAGGCCGCGGTCTTCGCCCCAGGCCTTATCTTGGGGAAACTGAGGTTTGGGCCTTTTTTTTTTTTTTTAAAAAAAGATGGAGTCTTGCTCTTGTCGCCCAGGCTGGAGTGCGGTGGCGCGATCTCGGCTCACTGCAACCTCCGCCTCCTGGTTTCAAGCGATTCTCCTGCCTCAGCCTCCCAAGTAGCTGGGATTATAGGCGCCCGCCACCACGCCTCGGTAATTTTTGTATTTTTAGTAGAGACGGGGTTTCACCATGTTGGCCAGGCAGGTCTCGAACTCCAGACCTCAGGTGATCAACCCGCCTCAGCCTCCCAAAGTGCTGGGATTACAGGCGTGAACCACTGCGCCTGGCCGAGGCTTGGGTCTTTGGGAGTGAGAAGATGGAGAATTCACATCTGGTTAGTTCCTCCCCTCTCAGCCCTGGAGCGCCCACCCGGGAGCAAAGCGGGGTCTTTCTGGCACCTCAAAGGCGGTGAGAGAATCCGGGACCAGGTTTGAGCACATATCTGCAGGGCGGGAAGTGTATGTTCTGAGGAAGGGGGGATAAATGCATATCCGTTCTTTCAATATGTTTGGAGCACTGGGGAGCCATTTGGGAGCAAGGTGGCCAAAATTCCAGCCCTCAAGAAGCCGATCATATTATAACTGCCAGAAGTGTGGTGGGAACTGAAAAAAGCAGGGTTTCTGAAACCTAGAGAGAAGTGAGAGGTAGAGAAGTAGGCATGGACCTACCTCTCTCCATCTCTAGGCTAGATTATGAAGAAATGAAGACCCTTGCAGGTCTGTGAGGATTTTGACTTTATCTTAAGAATAACAGGGGAAGTCTAAAAAGTTTTTAGCAGGGAGAGACTATATATTTAGAAGGTTGCACTAGGCTCCAGAGACCAGAGGAAGTATTTACAAAAAAGAAGGAAAGGAACTGATGGAAGGGGAAATGTTATATAAAGAAATCAAGGCCAGGCGCTGTGGCTTACGCCTGTAATCCTGACACTTTGAGAGGCCGAGGCAGGTGGGTCACCTGAGGTCAGGAGTTCAAGACCAGACTGGCCAACATGGCAAAACCCCGTCTCTACTAAAAATACAAAGATGAGCCGGGATTGGTGGCATGTTCCTGTAATCGCAGCTTCTACTCTGGAGGCTGAAGCAGGAGAATCGCTTGAACCCGGGAGGCGGAGGTTGCAGTGAGCTGAGATCGCGCCACTGCACTCCAGCCTGGGTGACAGAGTGAGATTCTGTCTCCCAAAAAAAGAAAGAAAGAAATCAGCCGGGCACGGTGGCTCACGCCTGTAATCCCAGCACTTTGGGAGGCTGAGGTGGGTGGATCATGAGGTCAGGAGATCGAGACCATCCTGGCTAACACGGTGAAACTCTGTCTCTACTAAAAAATACAAAAAAATTAGCCGGGTGTTGTGGAGGGCACCGGTAGTCCCAGCTACTCTGGAGGCTGAGGCAGAAGAATGGCGTGAACCCGGGAGGCACAGCTTGCAGTGAGCCAAGATCACGCCACTGCACTCCAGCCTGGGCGACAGAGCGAGACTCCGTCCCAAAAAAAAAAAAATCATCTGTTCTGTTTGTAATTTATTAAGAGGTCCTGAAAGATGGGCCTGAAA